AGGGAGAACATGCAAACTCCATGCAGAAAGACCCCAGGCAGGGAATGGAACCTGGAGCCTACTTGCTACAAGGCAGCAGTGCTACCCACTGCTCCGCTGTGGAGCCTAGAAACATACTAAGATAATTGTCATAAGTTTGCACAGGCATCTGTTGTTGGCGTTCTGGAAAGTCTTTTGGGTTTGTTTTTTTATAAACACATGGAAATTATACCTACCATTTCTAATTAAAAATAAACACAAAATGGTAAATATTTTAAAACTTCAGCAATTACAAAATGCTGCCTTACTTGTAAAACCCTCTATGATTTATCCTTCCCCCCACTGTCTGAATACATTAAACCTAAAGCAGGTAGGGGTCTCACCCCCAGAGTCTCCTCCAGAGAATATGCTGAGATCCCACACAGAAAAAGAACATTGAGATAAACATACTAACCATATAACGTGATCTGTTATGAACAATCTGATAATAAACATAAGAGAAGGCTGTCTTACCTAATATTAGAAAAAAAGAAAGGAAAAAAAAAATTCAGTCTTGTTATGGGAGATTCAAGACAGGGGCCAACAGGAGCTAGGGCCCCCGTAGAACAGGTCCAGGCCCCTGTATTAGAAAAATATTATTTCAAGTAAAAACACTCTTTCCTTTAGCAGATCATCTCATTTACCTGCTCAAATTAAGGCCAAATGACCTGATTTTAAGAAATGGATACTTATTTAAAGCTCTTTTTATAGTCTAATTCTAAATAAATTTATTTCCAATTCATTGAAACAGTTATTTAGAAATCACATCTTCAGCCGTATTAAGACAGAATCACAGTTATTATTTGTTAGACCAGGATTCTGCATCTTTCTGGTTCACTCAATATACTAAATGCCCTGCATTTATTTTTATTTTTTTTATTTGTTGTTGTTTTTATGAAAGACCACCGCACCCTTGGTAAATATTGTCTAGAAATGCCACTGCTTCTTGGATATGTCACCCCACCGATGTAAATGTAGCTGTTTGATTACACTCTTGCACATTTGTAATCTGTGTTTAATTTGTATAGGATTTGCATATGAAAAGTAAAACTAAACGGAGAATTTATAATCCAGTTTCAAATCCTGTGCAGACTTCCAACATGTTTATTTTTTCCTATTTTTGTTTATATTAGAATTGCCCTGTTTTGACCTTCATCCTACTCCCCATTAACTTCATGCCACTAATAAAAAACATGATGCTATGGCTACCATGGTTTTACTATGGCAATCTGCACCAATTTCTCTCCATATTTTAGAGTTGTTACATGAAATCAAGATTTAGTACAACCTTTAGTAAACCTGAATCCTTCTCTGACTCTCATGAATTGCATATTTAATTAGAAGAACATGTACCTGTTTTAGTTAACTTGAGCCACAAAAGTGTGAAACAACCTCTTATGAAGAATGCTGGTTAATTCAAACTTTAAAGTGACTTCAGATAATCATTCATCTTCGTTCTGTTTTTTATTAGCTTTTCCAGTTGACAGATGTGAGAAATTCACAGACCTTTCTCTCCATCATGCCCTCGTTGGAACAAGCATCAGAGTCAGGCTACTGCTGTACACCAGGGATAATGACAGCTGTGCTGTTCTCCTGTCTCACACCAACCTGACAGAGCATCCACAGTTTAACCTGTCCAGACCCACCACCTTCATCATCCATGGATTTCGGCCCAGCGGTTCTCCCCCAGTGTGGGTGGAGGACTTCACAAAGAGACTGCTGGGCAGAGGAGATATCAATGTTGTGGTAGTTGACTGGAACTATGGAGCTGCTAATATTGATTATTTCTTTAAGGTAGTAGGGAATACATACAAAGTGGCAGAAAACCTGACAGCCTTCATTAGAATGATGAAGGTACAAAGCAACTCTTATCTTTTGTATCTAAATCTTGTGTGCTCAGAGAGCAATACCTCTAACAACTTTCCACAAAAAACCTCTGTTTCAGGATCATAATGCTTCTCTAAGCTCGATTCATATGATTGGAGTCAGTCTGGGAGCCCACATTTCCGGTTTTGTGGGAGCAAACTTTAACGGCTCGGTGGGAAGAATAACAGGTTAGTTTTGCATGTTAGGACATGATTTTATATCAGTCGGATTTAGAGTGAGATAAGTCGAGATGAAGTGAAAATAAAACTTGAAAACAATTTGAATTTCCTCTTTTTTACACAGCCCTGATAAATAGATTAGCTGCTAGGGGGAAATTCCT